CTCGATACTTCTGTCCGTTCAGAAAATATCGACATTTGAATTTGAATAAAATTTCCCATTTTGCAAAGTAACTGTCCGCCTTCCGTTTCTAATTTAGATCGATACCACCCACATATATTTCTACTTATAGACGTACGTTTGAAAAATGCAACACAAATCTATACTGTGAAGAATACCAGTGGTTTGTAACTCAACTTTGGATACCCCTACGGTGCTGGTGTAAACGGGAGACAAAAGTGATCAAATGGTATAACCATTTTAAAACAGTGAAATTCTTAAACACTGTTTTTATTATGTCACTAAATTTTTAATTTTCGTCATATTGTATTTTCAGTAGCTAAAATAGTATATTTACCTTCATTTTCCAAGAATGTGCAATTCATCCCCATTTCTCCGCCCATGTGATGAAAGAAACAATCATTATCTATACATTGAAGGATATCCCATTTAAATCCTTCGTATTTTCTGCTAGACCAATCAGTCAATAGGGTTTGCTTTTTTTTCATTTAGGATATTAACGGAGCATGACCATCGATCATATATTTCTTCACAGCCCCAGCCAACGTCTGAGAATAAAGGTTGTTTTCGTCACATCTGACGGAAGCCTATCGTCCGGAACGGAGAAAAAACGTCAGGCTCGAGATTAATAGTCACATCGAAATTTCACGTATGACCTTGGGAAAGGTGAGGTTTGCCACCCTTTGTTCATTGAAAGAAGTGAAACGTGCTATGCTCCTATTGTATTTTTCCGCAAAAATTTGATAATATCTAAAATTAGTATAAAGACCCTGGACTACGTTTGCAGGAAGTGTCCTGTATTTTTTTTAAATCTTAGCCCATAACTAGTGTCACCTGTCCTGATTGCAGACTTTATGTTTCCTTTCGTAAGCCGTTCCCTTATCTTAATTGCATTCTTGCATTTCTTCTGTCTGTGATTTACCTTTGCGTTTTCAAAGCAAAGTTGAAACGATTTAGCTTTGTGGAGCGCAGTAACTGGGTGGAAGGTCATCCTTAAAACAAATTAAATGTCAAAAATTGGAGCCCTAATAGGGAATACGTGCTTCTTTGGCTCTGTAGAGGGACCATAAGTTTCCTTTTTTAAGTTTGCTTACGCTTTGTACTTGAGGTAGTGTGATGTGTAAGGGGTTTCGGGTCAGAGAAACTTAATAGACCAATTTAAAATCTGCAGACACACAATTTGAACTGAGAACCATAAAAATCTTGTGACTGACAAATAAACCTCTTTTAAATAACTTTTCTGAGTTTCAAAAGATTGAAATGTCAACTAAGGTTTAAGTAGATGTCTTATGGGGATTCGGTCTCAAAACTTCCAAAATCCGCCACCAGAGGCGCTGGCGTCGCGCGCCATTGACAGGTTGTTGGACGGAATCTGTATTCATGAGTTGGGGATTCCGCCGCTAGATGGCGCTGTCAAACCAAACGGAATCTGTGTGTCATTGGACACCTGTCATGCGTCATTGGGCATCTCACGCATAGATGGCGTTAAAACGTCATCTGTCATACGTCATTGGACACCTGTCATTGATGGGTTGGGCATCTCGCGCATAGATGGCGCCGATTTGTTTGGCGGTGTACAAACCTAACGGAATCTATGTGTTATTGGACACCTGTCATTGATGGGTTGGGCATATCGCGCATAGATGGCGCCGATTTGTTTGGCGCTGTACAAACCAAACGGAATCTATGTGTCATTGGACAGCTGCCATTGATGGGTTGGGCATCTCGCGCATAGATGGCGCCGATGTCGCACCTGTCTGGTGTTGGCGTGGATTACGGGGGGCAACGTGTATACAGGGGTGCATCGAAAAATAGCGGATCGATGGACCGACGGTATATCGTTAAATCGTATATAGCAAGGCGTGACCTAAATAGCGTGGTGGGCTCCTCTGGTCGGTCGGTCGGTCGGTCAGAATGTCTCATAACCTGTATACGATGTACTGTTATTATTATACAGGATGATACCGTTCAAAATGAAAATAGTATAGACATTCTGACAATTATTTCGCAAACCAGAGGTATTTTCAATAAAACTACAATAATACGTTTAATATTTTATTGAAAATAGAAAAAACTACATAGGTAATATGATATTTGAAAACCAGTGGCGTAGACGTTCAACATTTCTCTGGGTACAGGAAAATTGTCCGTTGGTGTGGCATGGATTGGAATCAGCAACAAAGTTTCCAGTAGCACACGGTGTACCATCATACTTGCAAACATCAATAATGTTGGGAAAAACACCAAAAATGTGACATTTCTTGAGTAAAAAGTTTGCTTTCTGTTCTCCACGAACGTAGACATAGTCAGCCGCATATATCACCTTATTTTTAATTATTTCATTTAACTTGGAATATTTAACGTCGCCGGAAGAATATTTAAGCCCATGGAAATTCTTCTCCAAGTAAGCGACAGTTTTCTTGTCTTTAGTATTTAATGTAGAAAAAGGTTGCGGAGGTGTAAAGATGTAATGACTTTTCTTGAAACCAATTTCGATACATAGTTCTTTAGGTACGAATAATCCGTCAACTGTAAAGCCTTGAATGTCAACAAACGCGATCCTCATGATGTCTGATGCGGAACTGAGAGTCCTTCGTTGCTTACGAGATGGTTTTAATAACTTCGGTGAGGGGGAAGTACTCGATTAAGCAGTCATGTATAATGATGCAGTAGGCCTTGGTGTTGGTTGGAAAGCCAGTATCGGCTTCGATATCCAATCTAACATCAACAGTTGATGATTTCATGGTTTCCTCTTGTTTGGAACAGTCAATAACAAACAAAGCGCGATTTTTAAAAGCGGTATAATCTAAAAGACATCTCTTCAGAGGAGAAGAAGAAGTTGTATAGCTGGTTTGAAAGTCGCTATAGTTGAAATGAGCTTCAGTAAAGTGATTGTTTGCAAAGTCCAATTGCATACGTTCGTTGGGATAGTATTCACCATTTAAAGATACTCGAATACTAGCAGCATTCACGTGATCAAACAGGGTAGGGTCTGAGGTTGCGACGTCACGTTTACCGGTTTGGAAACATACTATAATGAAACGTGGTCTTTCGATTGCGGTGCTAGTTTTAACTGACCATATTTCTCTTCTCGCATCTGCGGTAATTGCAGGCAGTTCATTCAGATCCCATTTTCTAAACGGTATAAGTATCGGCTTATCAGTTTGAATAGCTTTCAAAAGTTGTTCTTTCACATCATCACTCGGGTAAATATGTTTGATTTTCAGTTCCATGCTTTCAATAGTTATTTTCGCTGTCGTCGTCGTTCCAGTTTTTTCCTTGATAATGATACAATCGTTATCGTTTCTAGCTCTCACAAATCTGAGAGTTTGTCTGCCACACGTAATCATAGGATAATCATTGAAAATGTTGAAAATATGTTTAAGCGGCATTAGCAAGCTAAAAGACTTGTTATGTGTTGACGCCATTATAGGTGTTGAAGGATAGTTCCATCCAGCTATAGCCATATGATTTGAGTCTTCCTCACTGTAACATACGTAAGCTCGGACAGTACTTACAATACCAGGATCACGTACTGTTTCAACTTCTCTAGCGGATTCACTGTAAGTGCAAGAGTCAAATAGGAAGGCACCAAAGTTTGGAGCTAAAGATACATCTCCTGCTCCTCCTCCAGTTATTTCAACTTTTCCTTTGATAGATAGAAGGGAAGCGTTCATTGCAAAGAACGAATCTACTTGATTGATGCTAAATTCCACAACATCATTACAATTAAATGACTTGATGAACGGCGTATAAGATCTATACTCAGCCTTGCGAATAGATTCATCGAATGCTGGAGATCGATATAGATCAAACATCGGAGAAGTATGTGATGCTGCTGCTGCTGCCTCCTCAGTTTTTCTCTTTTTGTACATGATTCTTGTTGTTGTTGACATGATATCCAAGTGAGCGTAGAAACAGGATATTTGATGTAGTTAGTAGTAGATGTCGTCGCTTAGGTGCTTGGGGTAATACTGAAGTTGCCTTGGAAGCACCACTATGTCTTATAATCACTAATCCCATCTGCGCTTCGCTCTCAACTCCAACACAAGAGTACTAGTTTCACCTTGAAAGTTTACAGGACGACCGTCTTGATCTAAAGCCAACACTGTGATGTTGGTTATTTCTTGTTTCGGTATAACAGGTAGATATAGTAAATTTACAGGTGTTTCGACTATAGCGTATCCAGGATCGGCTGTCACAGCAAATTCGTAGATCGTGTGTGCAGGCGTGTCTCCGTCAAAGGCTCCCGACGTAATGTTAGCATCAAAGTGTATGGTTGATACTTTTATTATGTTTACAGGTAAATCAGAAGAATGCTTTTGACCAGGATTAAGAACTTTTTTCGAGAATCCCAATAGATGTCCAAGATTATTCGGTTCTGTAAAAACTATTTTATAATACTTGCTAAAGATTTCACATTGCAGTGTATTATTGTTAGGTTTTAGAGAAAAATAATCATCCGGAGGAGCAACTTCATTTTCAAGATTCATTTGCGTTCGTATAAATGTTTCTATGTCGGTAATTTCATAACAACCTGTCGGAAACTCGATGACTTTTAATTGACCACCACCACCTATCCGGTCGATATAATAAAATTTATCTCCTTTTTCAATATTCGGTATGGAATTGTATGAAGTAAAAGACCTAAGCGCCAATTCATAATCTTTTTTCGGATCCAACACTATCGGTGTTGAAGGACGAAATGAAAATATATGAGTAGTGCTATTGACTCTCAACAACTGCGACATGATGAATGAAAAAATATAGCTGTGTACTAAGCATTTATTCAAGTTTTTTTTTTTTGTTTATTTTCGAATGGATAATTTACAGAAATAACAATTTGCTTGAGCAGTAGCCGGTCCATCCCAATGTGTTGTCCAATCAGGTCTGTTGTAGTGAACATAGCATGGAAGTCGTATTTGAAGATCAAAATTGGATGTGTATTCTGCAGGCAGTTTGTGCCATATACTCAATAATTCTGCAGGTCTCACATTGCTTATTAAATATTCCAGCGGCGGAATATTCTTCTCAAACTCTTCTAATGTAAATTCCGATAATGTTTTATTATCCATCGTTGTTGTTGTTGTTATTGTTATTGTATAGAAATTTCAAACACAATTGTCCGCAATTAACTTGATTATAAGTTTGGTAAGGATCGTTGTTGTAGAAAATTTTAGCGTTTTTCAGATATCGAACAAGTTCCTGTGGAGGCTTCAGGTTACCAAATGAATCGAAATACTCAACGTTGTTGTTTATCTTTTTATAAGCTACCCAATGAGTTCCGTTGTTTTGTGAAATATCTAAGTTCACGACGGCGCATTCTCTTTTACGTGGACCGTCTCGTGGTAAAGTGTCACGCATGAAGACACCTCGGAAATGAGGTATGTTCAAGAGCTTCGCATATTGCTTTATTTCATAATCATAAAGCGCTTTCTTGGGTAGCTTGATGTTTAGTTTTTTTGAGTTTTTTTTTTGAGGTACAACCCATAACCACCTTTAGCATTTTTTCTCAAATACAATCCTTTGCCCAAAGACTCCATAGCTTTGTTATGGCGATGGTCTTCCTCCAATTTCTTTTGTGCATTCTTGGCATCAACGACCGTTTTGGCCACACCTGCAGCTCCCCCTGCGAGCGCCCCCAAGGCACTTAATCCGGCGAAAAGGGGGATCAAGGGTAGGAATCCCCCAGATTTTCCTTCGATCGGAATTATTCTCGGTAGTCGAACTTTATGTTTTCCACCTGCACTCTTCACCGCTAATCTTGCCGCTTTAAGAGCAACCAATGCAGACTTTTTTAATGTCGTGGTGGTGGGAGCATTTTTCTTCAAGGACTTTGTGATTTTCGTGAGAACACCTCGTCGAAAAGATGATTTCTTCTGCCCCATACCCAATTTTCGCTTAACTTTCATTGCGGTGGTTGTTAGCCAAGCTGCAGTCTTTTCTCCTAGTGAAGCGTCAGGTGCTTTTACACGTTCCCAGGCTCGGTTCT